GTGTTTATTTGGTTATGATATGAAATGGCATTTTGTCTGTATTTTAATGGTTTAGTGAACTGTGAATCTTAATGCTGCACATTAAAGAAAATTGCAGCCCCATCAGGCAGATATCTCATGTAGAGACGATTTTTATGTCTGTTGAAATAGCAATGAAGCCATTCTCTTTTTGTATCATGATCCATTTCATAGCAAATGAATACACGTCTTGCAGATATGCTGTCAAAGTATTTCTGATGTTTTCACACTGGCAAGTATTGGAATAGTAGGAAATGGAACCACATCTTGGGGAAATATGAGGTATTCCATGATAGCACATTGACCAGGTATTTTCCAAATTCAGAGAAGCTACTCGGATGAAATGGAGATAATGTTTAAACCATTACTAATACTAGGTACAGGGCTGGGCTATCCCAGTCCAGCTGAGCTAGATGATATCACATAGATTTAGCAATGAACTTTGCCTTGTAGTGAACTGGATCCAGAAGATGTCACATGAAAATGAGATGACAAAATAAATCTTCCAGAAACCATGTTTACCCAAGGCTACTTAACAATCTGAGACCTGCTCAGCCTTGGTAAGGTCTGAGCAGTATAAAGAATGCTGCAGACCCAAACATTTTAATCAGTAAGAACTGAAGAGTTGCAGAATTTAATCCTTTTTCAATGTCAAAAAGCACCTTCTTTTCTGTGCTTCTTTTGTCTGACTTTGTCCTCTTTAACAGTTTCTTTCCCCCATGACAATCTTTAAAAATGAGTGCCTAAAGTTAAGATCCCCTGAAGTTAGTTTTATAACATTTGAACTTCTGGATCACTTTAGGGCAAGTTTTCCAAAGTATTTTTGTTGTGAAAACTGCAGGTGGAAGCATAGTGGGATTTTCAAAAGCAGTTAAACAGACAAGGCACTTAACTCTCATTTAAATTAATTAGCTATATTGAGCAAGTTCCCCTTGGCACTTTTGAAAGTTCCACTGCTAAGTGTTTATGTCTACATAAAAAATTATGATTTTCAGAAGATGATGAGCATCCAGCAACTCCCTTTAAAGCTTGACTATTACAGGTTTTCAGTAACTCTGAAAATTATAATTGTCCCTTGTTCTATGTTCCTAAATGATCCTCCCTTGTTTTGTAGTTTCTTAACAGTTCCTGCTGTCATTTATTGTATAAAGTTAATCTCAGAGAAGAAGTGGGATCAATAGTACTAGCTCATAAAGAGAGAAAATTAATGACATGGGTGAATCTTCTGCACAAGTTCAAGAAACTGGAATCTTTGATACATACAATCAGTGAAAAAAATGATAGATATTTAAAACTATTGTAATTATGTTTTGTACTTAATTTATTTATTACTTTTATATTATGCAAAATAATAGCTCAAAAATATGTTACAGGCAAAGACTGCTGCAGGTTGTGGATAGGTGGGAGTGAACCAGATGATCAGAATTTCCATGACTTTCCAGTGATTAAGATCTGCATGTACAGAAACCCTTAACAGACCTGTTCAAGTGTAATAAAAGCACAGTGCTCACTCTGAGGTATAGTTTCGCCTGCTCTATCTTCTAGAGTATTGTCCAAGCAGCAGTCTGAGGATATACACACATCAGCATTTTGGTTTCAGTCAAGAGTCAGCTAGTGAAAGGCATCTACGAATTATTCCCACTTAGCACACTCGCTCATTGTAGAGGGGGTCTTGGGCTAAGTGAACAGGGCTGCTTTTGGCTGAAATGAAAAAATAATGTGCTTTCCAGAAGGACAGTTAATCTTCTTTAACGAATCCCACTGAACTATGTCAAAAATAGGTCAATATAACATTCTTCTGCAGACTCTAATTTCAAATACAGACCAATGTTATCATCAGTTCCTCAGAATTAACAGTTTTGCTCTGCTGATTGGTTCTTGCTGTGGCACATTCTTTGTTAATGCAGCTATAAACTGAGTTGTCAGATGGTTGTGTTCATAGGAGAATTCCATCTTTCCACAAATTTCCAGAGTTTTCATCCCCCAATGCCAGAATTTTCTTAGATATACAAGTATTTTGAATCAATTTTCAATTTCAAACACTGGCCCATGTTTATTGGACTATATCTCCTCTTTCTTCTTAAATCGCAGTACAACAGTACTACTCTTTGTACTAGTACAAAACTAATGAGCAAAAACTCATAACAATTTTTTAAAGCTTTTTGATAAATCTAGGTCACCCTACATGTAGTTTTTTGCCTAGAAAATTAATCCAGACAATCAAGATTTTAAAACATAGGATTTAAACCTTGTAAAATCCGCCTACCCCAGCCATTCATTCTGGTTATTTTCTACATTGATTTAGAACTTTTTATGCTTTAAGATTCATTTTTGTTTGACTTTTTCTATGGCTAACCAGTCAATAGTGTTTATATTAATAGGTAATTTATTAGGGAAAATAATTCTTTATCCAGTGAGTTTTTCAATATTCATAACTTTATATAAATTTATATGCTGGTAATTATATCTTTTTTAGTTTGTATCAGATGTATCAGAGTGAAAAAATATATGAATCGTTGTCAGCTATCTTCAGAACTAGGATTTATTATCAGTTGTTGCCAATGTGAGGTGTAATCTGAGACACTTTAATGTTTTGTAAACCATGAAGAGATTTTAGGCGTGTTTTTAGTCAATTAAAATACTTTCAGGGCAAAAGTATGTGAAATTTCAAATAGCGGTAAAATTAAAGGATTTTTTTTAATTTTTAAATTTTCTTTTTAGTAAAGTAGAAGCTCTAAAAGACAAAAGAGAATTCTCTGTACTTATCTAAGCCATCGATTCACAATACAGTAAATGTGACCTTAGGATGCTTAATGCCAAAAAACCCCCACTGTAGACTCGTGATATTAAATACTGATCGGGTATAAACTCACCTTTCTAATTCAAATGTGTTTGAAAATGGGACAGCTAAGCTTTATCCTGTCAGGCTTTCTGCTGGATGAGATATTGCCTGTCCATGCCATTCTGTCTCTTGCTGGTTAAGGTGGTGTTTGCTCTCCTGGTGATTCTGTATTGTGTGCTATAATCTACCCAATATGTAGATCTGTGGTTTTCTGAGTCATCCCAAATTTATCCACAATTCTGGATTAATGTCCATGGTTTACTGTTGCCCCCCATTATTGTAGTGTGTGACTAAATCACAAGATTTGTATTTATTCTCCTAGCAACAATGTGAAGGCAAATTGCCTTCACTATCATGCTGATTTCATCATAGCATGTTTTTTCTCACACCCAGTAGATGAAACAATAAGAGGTTATTGGACTTTTAGGATTTCAGTGATTAAAACCAGGAGATTGTAAAAGAGGTGAATTTTTTCTTAGTGTACCAAGTACTCTGCTGGAGCTGTATTAAGGCTGTTTCATACAAAACTGGGTTATTCTTGTGCTTTTTAGGAAGCTAATTGCTTAAATGATTTTCTTTTCCATAGTCACCAGACGATGTATTTTGCAGAGTCATCACAATCCTTGATATAAAATCTGGTTGACTTCTGGGGATTCAGGATCCCCTCCCACTGAAATCCTCGAGTGACTCTGAGGGGTCACAGAGCTGGTTTTATGAGTGATTCTTGTCTCCCTGTTACTCTGTAGTCCCTTGGAGTGGAGAACATCAAAGTTCTGCACCGAAGGGGCACAGAAGAGAGCAGGAGTCTGGCTGCTTGTTGCTGCTTTATTCACCCTGTGCAGTGCTGGAACTGCTGCTCTGGCTCACTGGGGGAAGCATATAAGGCCAGCAATGCAACCCTGTGATTTCCACTCAAGTCTGTTGAAAAGTTGCTGAAAAAATAAACTTTAAAGACCAAAATTACCCCTTTTTATAAGCTGTCCTCATTCTGTCCTCCTCCAGAGGGAACTGAAAACATTCCTGACGCCTGAAGTTTTGTTACTGCTGTTTCGCTTATGAATACAGCCTCCAAATGTAACAAAAGTGCTAAGTACTTAATAGGCAAGAACAAGGGAAGTGCTTTGTCCTTGAGTGCTCACCAGCTCACAAAGGAATGAAAGGTGGGGCTGGAGCAACAAGGAGCGGTTCTGCTGCCCACCAGGGGCTCTGCTCTGCCCCCAGCTCTGGCTCACTCCCAGTGACATCTGCAGAACAGGGCTTCAATGAGGGTGGGCTAGGGACAGCTGACACCAAGCTGAGTGATAATGTTAAGTAGGAAATTCTTCAAATCCAAGAGTTCACTATTCAGATTTCATTTGCAGGGCATGCAGGAAGAATAAATACGTGAATGAAAAAAGTATATTTTGCTAATGTGCTGCTGCAGGGAAAGCTGGGATTTCTAAAACAAGATTGCATTGTTATGTGCTACAAAAGGATCCCCGGACTTATTATATCAGGAGAACTAAGGCAGTAGTCATGACATCTTTTTCCATTGTTATTCAGAAAGCAGTATATGCTTATTTTAATCTTCTAGAAATGCAAACAAAATACTTTTGAGTATTTCAAGGCATCAAAGGTGGAAAAGTATAAAATATACACTTTTGTGGAAGGGATGGCATCACAAACCATGGAACTCTGTTGTGCCAGAGCTGATGCATGGAGATTTTAATTTATTTCTTTACTATACCAGAAATTGCTCTGAAGCTCACTCTGAAAATAGACTTATTTTGTAATTAAATATTTGAGAACTACTGATATTTATATTTGCATGTGATTAACTTTTTACAGCACTGTGTGTGAGGCTTTTTGCTTTTAAACTACCCTGGAGTCAATAAATATCTTTACAGATGTCAATTTGGTCAGCAGTAAAGAGGTAAATAGAAACTAATGACACTCATCAAGCCTGTGGCATAAATGATTTATTGGACACAATCATTTAACACTTTTTTAAAGTCAGTGCAAGGGAGAGAAACAGGTTTCTTATTATGGTAAACTGTATTTGTGCTGTCAGCAAGTAGTGATTTATGACAAACCTGTGGCCAGGATTAGGATATTATAAATGAAGGAAAATAGAAGTCTCATTAATTTTTTATACCCACAGGTAGAAGACATGCAATGGGCTAACAGAGAACACACTCATCCAGCATCTGTCTGCAGCCTGCCCTGCAAAGCTGGGGAGAGAAAGAAGACGGTGAAGGGAGTGCCCTGCTGCTGGCACTGCGAGCGCTGCGAGGGCTACCACTACCAGGTGGATGAATTCAACTGTGAACTCTGTCCCATCAACAAGAGGCCAAATGCCAACCGCACGGATTGCCAGCTTATCCCTATCATCAAGCTGGAGTGGCATTCTCCTTGGGCCATCGTGCCTGTCTTCATCGCTATTCTCGGGATAATCGCCACCACCTTTGTGATTGTGACATTTGTCCGCTACAACGACACGCCCATCGTCAGGGCCTCTGGGCGGGAGCTCAGCTATGTGCTCCTGACTGGGATTTTTCTCTGTTACTCCATTACTTTTTTAATGATTGCAGCTCCTGACACAGTGGTCTGCTCATTTCGAAGGATCTTTTTAGGACTCGGCATGTGTTTCAGCTATGCTGCGCTGCTCACCAAAACAAACAGGATTCACAGAATATTTGAACAAGGTAAAAAATCTGTCACAGCTCCCAAATTTATTAGTCCAGCTTCTCAGCTGGTGATCACTTTCAGCCTCATATCCTTCCAGCTTATTGGAGTCTTCATCTGGTTTGCTATCGATCCACCACACACCATTGTAGACTATGGAGAGCAGAGGACACTTGAACCAGAAAATGCCAGAGGAGTTCTCAAATGTGACATTTCAGATCTTTCTCTCATTTGTTCCCTTGGATATAGTATTCTCTTGATGGTCACATGCACTGTTTATGCTATTAAAACAAGAGGGGTTCCAGAGACCTTCAATGAAGCAAAACCTATTGGATTTACTATGTACACAACCTGCATAATTTGGTTAGCTTTTATTCCAATCTTTTTTGGTACTGCCCAATCAGCAGAGAAGGTAAGTGATGATGTGTTTACCTATCAAAACAGTGCTCTTTTTCTATTTTCATCTCTCAATAATTACAGCACTAAAACATTTTCATTCTTACAAATGAGTAATTGTGAATGGCAAACAAACCATCAGAATTAACAGACGATAAAGTATATGTTTCAAAAGGTAGATTTCTTATATATTAACACAAGAAACTGATTGTGATTGTTGTGTGACTGGCATAAAAATGTTCACAATTTCTCAATATAACCTTTAATGACTGTTTCTTCTAACATTTGTTATTGCCCTTCAGTGATGCTGTGGCCTGTTACATGAAGCACTATCAATCTTTGTTATCATCTACAGATCTGATAGAACTGGTTGCATTCCACAAGTCTAAGAAGATCAGCTTACATTTGTCAAAAGTAATGAAGAAAAATGCTGGGGCAGAATGAAAAGAATTACTTTTGTCTCTGGTTGACATACAAAACTTTAAAAATTTAAAAGAACCAAAAACAGAACAGCAGGAAATGAATGGTGAATGAAGTGTGTGTAAAATCATATAGGGCATAATTCACTAATTATTATATCAATGCAAAAAGAAAACACTTTCCTGATAATTTAATAAGAAATGAAATGGTTGATGCAAACCACATCAGACATATGACTCTCCTCTGTTTTAATGGGAAGGCAGAGGTAAATGTCAACTGTGTGAGTATTTATTGAGGTGACAATGGTGAAAATGACAAGTTAGGCAGGGAAAAGGAATAATACTAGCATCAATCTTCAAAACTGCAAATATTTGATATACGGAAATTCTTAAGAAATTAAAGTTAACAGTCTTTCACATAAATTCATGTCTTTCCTTCTAGCAGGTTTTGTATAACGTTTTCAAATATTCATTTTAATGTAATTGGAAAGGTCAGCATGTGTTCACTTATAATTGTGGAAAGGTTTGACATGTATCTAGTTTAGAGGGCGCCCTTGTCTGTGGAATTAAAGAACAGTTCTGTATATCTTGATGGAACACTTTCTAATTCAAGTAGAAGAATTGTATGGGGCAGAGAGTGTGGCAAAAAAAAAATATTTTCCTCCCTAGAAATTGAAGCAGGCTTACTGAATTGGATCAGGCTTATTTTCATGCCTTTTTGGATTAAGTTTGGGAAGTTGATGCCTTAGGTTTTGGCTTTTAGGTTTTTCAGATTCTCTACTGCTTTAGTGTGTGGTTCTGTGCTTCATATTAAGGGATGGTAAAATCTCTTCACAGAGTAGCTAGACAGAACAATTCCTTTTCTAGCTGGGGACCAAGGACAACTGATCCAGATTTCAGGCCAAGAGCATAAACAACACGGACTGAAGAAAGAAAAACAAGAAGGATGGGACTTCATAACCTAAAGCTATAATTGGACAATTAACTCCAATATGCAAATGGACTAGAACTTATAAAAGTGAGGGACCTCATGACCATTTTGTGGTCCATTTTGTGATCATTTTGGGTTTCAAGTTGGTGTAGCCCTGGCTTAGCTCTTGTATTGCCCAAGGTGTATCCATTGAAGCCTTTTAATAAATACCTACTTTATTCTTTAGTTCCGTTTAGCGTTCTAGGTCAGCCTTGGCAAGGCATCAAAGTGAGTACCAAGGTAATGGCTTATGACAGACAGAGTAAGTTAAAAAATTCCCATTTGACATAGGAAAACATGTAGGTAAATTGGGTTATTTTGTATTTGTAGGCTTAACTCACAAAAATGTTTTGTTGTATAAATGTGTGGTATTTTTAACAACTTAGTGTAGTCAGGTTTATGGCAAGAACTTGAACCAAAATAACTGAGTCTTGAAACAGGAAATATTTCTCTGCTGGTAACCATGCAGTGGCTTTGATTTAGACCATCAGTTCACCTTGGCTTATAGTAAAGGATGATTTGGTTTCAATCTTAAAAGACGAGATTAATTAACATCTCTTTTGCATTTCCTTTTTGAAGCCCAAGACTGAACACACAAATGATGCTAAATCACACAGCTTCTAACATTAAATTTCACTTTTTACCTGGCATTTTTTCTTTCTAAATGATTTGTTTTTCTTTCCTCTTTATGGAGAGAAAAAGTGCCAATGCAGTATTTCTGTAATTCAAATAATTCTTTCCAAAGAACTTCTTCTTTTTGCTTCAAATAGAACATGCTTCCACACAGAGTTTTACAGACATCTTCATAACAGTTAACATATTCCATACAATTTAAATACTTTTCTGAATGGGATAAAAATTTGTAAATCTTACTGCACATATATGCATAGTCTGAATAAACACAGTTTCTCAATTGATGCATAACATCATATTAGCATTTTAAAAACAAGCTAATGTATTTGAGAATATTTTATTTGAAATTTGATATTGTGATCTTTTTGGAGGATGAAACAAATGAAAAACTTACATGGATACTTTTTTTGGTGCTTACTTACATTGCAGTTATTTTAGAATCCTGAAATTGTGGTTTGGTTTTTTTTTTTTTAATGGCTTGAGCTTACTGAGAGAGAAAAGAGCAATAAAAAGCTGGGGATTTTAAAGTGTTATTTTAAAGCAATGTTTCCTTTATGAAATGTTGACAGTAATAAATTTATCATGACATTCATTACTTGCCAGGGGTACTTCCAGTTGCTAACTTTAGATACCCTTCTATTTGAATAACGAGTGCTTAAAACTTTTCTAAAATGTTTTGAAGTTTTCCTAGACATTAGCAGTGCTTGCAATAATACCAGAAGTTACTAAGCATTTCTTGAAAAAGAGGTTGTAGACTTAAGTATGAAATTAATACTAATTAAATAACAAACCATACTGAGCAGCTTTTATTTCCCTGTCAATATCACTGTTAAACAAAAAAATGTACCATCAATGCTGAAAATAGATGTCTAGATCCAAAACTCAAAGCTCACCTTAGAAAACTTACCCTTACATTTAGTGGCCTTGGGGATCAACTCAAAAGCATAGGTTTCTTAGGAGATTCTGTAAATAGTCTAGAGGAGTGTAAATATGTAGAATCAGCATAAGTCCATAAATTGAGTGTTGGCATCAATCAAACTTCCAATATGCATGATGAAGGTAATTTAAATGAGCATAAGTACTTATCTGCAGACAGATGAGGAATCTTGATGTTTGTGCTTGCTGTGAAGCACAGGATGGGAAACTGCTCTCTTTCACTCATGAAGAATCTTGGGTCTCTAGCTGCTGAATGCAGCTGAGTTAAATGTCTGAATTTGCATGCAGTGACATACACATAAGAAAAAACACAGTAAAAGTTAAGGTAACTCAATAAGATGCCATGGGAATATGTTGGTTTCTAGTATTGACATTTGAAACATTTTTAACAGCGCTTTATAACAAGTGCTGTTTTTTTAAAGCTTGTATTATCTCAGTTTACATGTAAGTTTGAAACTAATATAAAATTGAGAAAACTACTGTATATTATTGAAGCAATTATACAGATATATATATATATATATACAGAGATAACTAAAAAATGTTAAAGTACCAATCCAAAATAACCTGGCATAATTCAAGCTTGGTGGCTTGTATTGATCTCCACATTTACTCATTAGTCCTTATTTTCAAGCAATAAAATAAATAGCAGAATATAAGTGCCCTATGGTACTAAACACGCTATTTTGAGGTTGTAATTCTCACAGATGTCCTGCAGAGAAAATATGAACGTTTACTTTAGGTTATTTGTGATTTTTTTTTGTCTAGTTCATGATTTTGTCCATTCATGTTCATGCCTGTTTTGACAGCTCATGCTTCATGAAAAGAACCTACTACAAAAAAATGAAAATTTTCGAGTTTGTCATTAAACTGAATGACAAATGGCTTCCTAAGACATAAACCACAAGTTTTCTAACACATTAATTTCAGTGAAGTGTTTTAGAGGCAAAGGAGAGAAATTCTGTGAGAAAGCATTCTGTGAATATAGCTTTTCTCTGTCATGCACATATATATAACCAAACACTGGAAGTACTGGAATCATCTAGGATAGAGATGTCTGAAATGTCATAATGACCAGAATGCCACTGAAAACTATGTTGAATAGCTGAGTGATTAGAACAGGTGTTTGAATTCCTGTGTAAAATTAATTTAAAATGACAGATTGCACTAAAACCTTCTGAGGATAGATGGCTGTCTGAAGCACAACTCTGTTCAATAAACTGCACTTTGTAAATTCCCTTCCTTTTAGCATTTTTGACAGGTGGATAAATCATGTTTATCCACAGATTATTATCACATATCATTATTATCAGAAATAATTTATTATATTAATCTGGAAATACTTTTTCTTGGATGAGAAGATGAATACTTGTTCCCCATACTGTGAATGAAGAGATGTTTCACTTTCTGCTAAGGAAAGGCCATAAAAACACTGAATAATTTCTTCCATCTCCTCCAACTGGAAGCAATTACAAGGTGTGATCTAACAAGGCAGATCAACAACACAAATTTTAATGTGTTTTCAATTATTCCGACAACTCTGACCTCTCTTTTCATAACTGCAATATAGAAAAATTGCAATTTTATAACAGAAATTTTCTCATAAGTTATTATCCTTATGATCTTACTGTTCCAGCTCTTTTCATGTATTTATTGTTCAGTGGATCTTATGCTTATATCCATCTTTGTTAGTAACACATAAAGAAGTTAGAAACAATACCAAAAGTATTCCACTATTAATCTGACTTGTAAATTACTGCTGTAATTGTCAAGACAAAGAAATTCAGTTCTCAGGGGGAGAAAGAGCTAGTTCCATCAGAGTAGTAATACATGTTCATTAGTTTATAGAAAACAACTACTAATGCTAGTTCAGGTAGAGACTTCTTCCTTCCCCCATATTTTTAAAAAAGATATGGAAATCATCTTTTGTGTGTGTTTACGTTATGAATTCTTGACTGAATATATATTCCTGTGACTGCAAGAAAACAGCATCTTAATGATTCCTCAGACTGTATTAATGAGGGGCACAGCACTGAGCTTGTTCTTCACCTCAAAGCA